CGAACTCACAGAGATCCGCCTGGCTCTGCCTCCCGAGTGCTGGGATTAAAGGCGTGCGCCACCACCGCCCGGCCTGGCATACACCTTTAATCCCTGCACTAGGAAGGCAGAGGCAGGAGGATCTCTGAGTTGGAGGCCAGCCTGGTCTACAGAGTGAGTTCCAGGACAGTCAGGGTTACACAGAGAAACCTTGCCTCAAAAAAAAACAACAAAATAAAAAATTACTCTAGAATGTGGGACAACAAATGCTTGGTTTTGTTTGTTTGTTTTGTTTTGTTTTTCAATATAAGGTTTCACTGTGTAACATCCTCAGTTGTCCTAGAACTTGCTCTGTAAACCAGGCTGGCCTCAAACTCACAGGAATCCACCTGCCTCTGCCTCCTGAGTGCTGGGATTAATGATGTGCACCACCACCAGGCAAATGCCAGCCTTTTTGTTTGGTTTTGGTTTTTCGAGCAGGGTTTCTCTGTGTAGCCCTGGCTGTCCTGGAACTCACTCTGTAGACCAGGCTGGCCTTGAACTTAGAGATCCACCTGCCTCTGCCTCCTGAGCGCTGGGATTAAAGGTGTGCGCCACCGCCACCTGGCTTAATGCCTGTTTTCTTTTTTCTTTTTTTTTTCATTTTTAAATTTATTTGTTAAATTTAATTTTATATATCAGCCACGGATTCCCTTGTTCTCCCCCCTCCCACCCACACCCACCACCCACCTCCACCTTCCCCCCAGCCCACCCCCAATGCCTGTTTTCTTAAACCATATAGTTTACAGTGAAAAATAGTTTTTTGAGACAAAGTCTCACTGTATAGGCCAGGCTGGCCTCAAATTCCAACTCCGGCTCATCCTGCCCCAGTCTCCCAAGTGCTGAGATTACAGGGATACACCAGACCTGGCTCAGCATCTCCTTTAACCTTTGGAATTTTGCTGTTGTTTTTGAGGCAGGGTCTCATGTAGCCCAGGCTGGCCTCTAATTCATTATGTGGCTGAGAATGAATTTCTCATCTTCCTACTTTGTAACGCTCCAATTCTGGGATGGTAGGCATTTACCACCATGCCTGGTTTACAGTGGGGTGAGGGGAACCAAACCCAGTGGCTCATGCATGTTAAGTAAGCACTCGAGTTGAGCTACAGCCTGAGTTCCAGTTTCTGGATCTTCCAAAAGCGTTTCCCTTCATCTGGAGCTCCCTTTCTCCCCTTTATTCTAGGCAAATTCATATTAGAACAAATACAGACTTCAGGAGACCCACCACCACCACCACCACCACAATGAAGTCAGCTGGCTATGCTGTGAGGTGGGCGGGGCCTCCTCTGAGGTCTGGTGGCCACCTGGGCCACCACCATTACTGTGCACAGACAGGCAGGGCTGGCGCCTCGAGGGAGGGATGGGAAGGGCCTGGTCGGCAAGTGGCACAGATGTGGATTTCACACCAATTCGCTTCGGCTGCTAGAAACAAAGTTTGCGTCACAGGGAACACAGAAGGCTCGCTCTGCTCCCTGCTTTCATCTCCTACACCCCGGCTCTTGGGTGGGAGGTGGGCACCGCCAGAGCTCCAGCAGCTCCAAAGGTTCCCACACCCCTGTGAACTCCCTCAGCTCGCTCTCCCTGCCCTCAACGCCCATTACCTTGGGATCCCAGCAAGGTCCTCCCCGTCAGAGAACCCAGAGGCTAGTGAGGCCTCTGGGTATTCAGTGACAGTTAACTCCTACGGTGCTTGCTGTGGGCCAGGCCTGTGCCAAACCTTTAATGGGGATAAATCGGTTTTATCTTCAAACAGCATTTGTTAGATAATGCTTGCGCTCCTGATCCTCCACCTCCTAAGTGCTGAGACGTGTACCACCATGGCTCCACACCACATTTCAAGACCATGTGATATTCAAAGTTCCTTTTTCCCCCCGTGGAGACTATCTCCAGGCCCATAAGAATACTAAAGACTATCTAAATGCCAAAGTTTCTGGATATGTGAGACCCCTGGCGCCTTTGTCAAATGTCTTGCCTTTCCCAGCCATACCTAGCCTATTGTCTTCTGGTTCATCAAGCGACACATGTAACTGGCACCCAGTGACTCCACTCGAGTCCTTTCCTCTAAGAGTATTGCACCCTTTGGCTCAGAAACCTCCCTTAGAACTTCAGCTTGGCAAATGTACTCAGGCCTTCTTCACTCGCCCCCTGAAGACTCTCCCACCATGGATCAGGGGGCTGTAGACACAACTCCACGGGACACGAGGCTTTATTGGGACAAACAACCTTTAGGCTCACAGGCCGAAGGGGAAACCTCCCAGAGGCCTGCCCGCCGCTTCCTGCCTTTTGCTAAAAGTCGCTCATGCCTGCATGGCAGAAGCACATGCGTGCGGAATGGCGTCCGGTGTGTTGCAGCTTCTGATTGGCTCCGTAGCGACCACGCACACACGCACGCACGCACGCACCCATGCATGCACGTCGAGGTCAAAGGCTCTGCGCGGCCTCACACCTTGCCCAAGGCGGCCAGGCTCCGTTCAGGCGCTGGGCCCGGGCTGGGTGGGAGGCAGCAGGCCGCGGCAGGCGCCGCCACGCTCCTTCCGTTGTAGCCGCCGCAGCGGCAGG